ACAACAATCGTAGTAAGACCAGCAAGGTCATATCGAAAAGAAAACACGTATCCTAACCGACCTTCGCCACAAGTAAGACAATATTCTATCAACCAAGTGATTCTGAAGCAGGAATCAGAAAAGCTTCAAAATATAATTCCTGAAAGAAAAACAAAAATAAATTAAAAAGAGAAACTCCTGGTTGCTGATTTCACTTAAATATGGGTTATGGATAAGTTACTGCTTTAACTTATGGGGTTTGCACATTTAGGATTTGAAACTAAGTATGAAGTTGCTAGACAGTTTGGTTTGAGACAATCTGTCTTTGTCCCCCTTTGGAATTTAAATGTAACATCCGGCTCGAAGGACCAAGTTATGTTGGGGATTTTACCGACAACCCAATGCCTGCAGCTAGAGAGAGAGAGAGACAGTGAGCGGACAGGTCATCAAATTACAATCAGGGCAGTTGCCTTTGAGCTTCTGCACCTGATTGTAATTTGGTGACTTGTCTGCTCATTGTCTCTCCTCTCTCTCTCTCTAGCTGCAGGTATCGGGTTGTCGGTAAAATCCCCAACAAAAATTTAAGAAGTAAAAAATTGTGACAATTTTGATTTGAAAATCTGTATTTCAGAATGAATTAAAAACGTCTTGTTTGTTGTGTCAAAAGGTTCAATCAGATCCCCTTCCATTTTATTCATAAAGCACGTTTCTACACGGCCGGGCCAACCAAGGTGCTGTACAGTAAAAGAGCATAAAATCAACACATGGGAAGAAGTAATAAACGTAGTACCGTAACTACTATAAAAACATCGTAAAATGCTAGCTAGACTGAAATTAAAGCGTAGGAATAAAAATGAGCCTTCAGACGTGATTTAAAATCTTTGACTCCAGATCCCGATCTTTTAAAAATCACGTGATCAAGCTCAGTTTCCGATCACGTGATTGGATCGGAGCATCCCCTCTCTGAAAAATTAGTGATGTGGCGGGGACTGTGATTCCACAGAAAGGCGGGGCTATGCTGTAGTTTCAGTGGTCAGAGGTCACTGTGTTGGGATGTCCCCAGTAGTTTTGACCTTAAGGGTAATAATATCACACACACACACACACACACTCACACACCAGTGTTCTCAGACTGAAGGATGGGCTTACCTGCATGGACGAAGTAGGCCAGGTACAGGTCCAGCTCCTTCACAGAGACCCCGATGTGGTGTGGCTGCACACACAGGCTTGGGTTCGAACACTGAGGAGACTTGACCAGCCGCTCCCCGTCCGTGCTCTCCAAAGGAATCCCTTTGAATAAAATCACCATGACTAGGTCCAGCCTCCAGACCTTGTCTGCCTGCCGGAGACAGTCGATCCTCCTCATCTTGCCTTTCTGGTCTGGGTTGGAGAGGACACAGCATGGCACCTTTTTCCCCGTCACTGTGAGAACAAAGTCCTCCCTGAACTCGGGCCGAATGTCTTTCCGTAGTTTTGCCAGGAGGCGAGACGCCCACTTCTGTTTGACCTCAGGTTTTTCTCCCAGCAGCTCGTCCTTCACAGCACGTTCCTCCTCCTTGGACATGCGCTTCTCATGCTTCTTGAAGTACTTTCTCTTACGAGCTTGCAGGTTAAACCAGGTGTAAGCGAAGGCCCGGACATGAGGGAGCAGGGCTTCGATGAAAGGATGGAATTCATCCTGAGAGACAGAGGAATACACTTAGCACTACACTGCACAAAAATGAGTTCACAACTTTGACCAGAACCTGTTTTCAGGTTCTGGTTAAGCTGAAGTTCTTAGAGAGCCAACATTACTAACATCAACCAAACGGCTAAGTAAAGCTAAACAAACCCACAGGAAGCAACTGAAAATCCTTCGTAATCACGGTTGCCTTCCTCAGCAGTGCTGATTGCACAGTTCAGATGGTCGAGTTGATCAAACTACTTGTGAAGTCTGATTCTCAGCAGTTTCGTTCTTTGGCTAATGGTTAGAAAGCTGTGTCAGCATGAGTAAATAAAAGTGAGAATAGAATCAATGAGTGATCAGTAAACCAGCATTAAAACATCCTCGCTAACGTGAAAGGCTCTGAGTCGCCTTAGTGATGGTGGCGCTGCTGTGCCTTTTTCATTCAGAGTCTGCATGCAGCATGAAAGCCAAGTCTGTTTAGGATAGACAGGTGTGTTTGGGAGAAACAGGTGTGTTTAATTCAATTCAATTCGGTTTATTTCTATAGCACCACATCAGGACCAGTCGTCTCAAGGACCGTCACACAGTAAACACTCCATTCCAGGTCAGGTCATTAAGCAGATCAGTAACAAGTTTCCTACATAAGGAACCCAACAGGTTGCATCGAGTCACTGACTAGTGTCAGAGTCTTTACAGCAATCCTCATACTAAGCAAGCATGCAGCGACAGTGGAGAGTAAAACTCCCTTTTAACAGGAAGAAACCTCCAGAGAATCCTGGCTCAGTATAAGCAGCCATCCTCCACGACTCTCTCTCTCTCTCTCTCTCACACACACACACACACACACACACACACACACACACACACACACACACACACACACACACACACACACACACAAACACACACACACACACACAAACACACACACACACACACACACACACACACACACACACGCACGCACGCACGCACGCACACACACACACACAGACAAAGTAGGGTGTCTATAGTTATATTGTGATGTCTTAGTAAATTTTGTATTTGGTGAGAGATAAACTTTATTGTATTTATCCTAGTGGATCTATAATTAAACGGGTAAACTAGTAGTAGCACATCCAACGTCAAAGAGAATAAAAAGTTATTATCAGGAGAGGGAGAATGTTTAAGTGGTTAGCAGCAGTGTGCTAGCCGATGGCCCCCTCCATGAGGCCACCACAGCTCAGCAGAACATCGTTGTAGCTTCTTCTGGGGAGAAAAACACTTAGAGAGAAAATAAAGTTAACAGCTGAAATAGAAGGAAATAATACAGTTAAAGAGCAGACTGTAGAAGAAAGCAGTAGAGTGTGGAAAGTGGTCAGTGTGTCCTCCAGCAGTCTAAGCCTATAGCAGCATAACTACAGAGATAACTCTGGATAACCTAGCTTTTTAGATGGAGGCATGTTGGAGGCAGGGCAAGGGAGAGTCGTCTTTACCAACAGTACACTCCACCTCCCTCTACTCCCCCACTTGTCCAGATTTAGGCTAACATCAGGTTTTAACCATAGACCCTATCAAATAAAAATGTTTTGAGCCTAGTCTTAAAAGTAGATTAAAGTTGGGAGCTGGTTCCACAGGAGAGGAGCCTGATAACTAAAAGATCTGCCTCCCATCCTAATTTTAGATATTCTGGGAACCACCAGTAGACCTGCAGTCTGAGAGCGAAGTGCTCGGTTAGGAACATATGGAACAATCAGATCACTGATGTATGATGGAGCTTGATTATTAAGAGCTTTATATGAGAGAAGGAGGATCTTAAAATCTATTTTGAATTTAACAGGTAGCCAATGTAGGGAAGCTAAGACAGGAGAGATATGATCTCTCTTTTTAATTCTCATCAGAACTCTAGCTGCAGCATTTTGGACAAGCTGAAGACTTTTAACTACATTCTGTGGACTTCCTGAGAGTAATGAATTACAGTAATCCAGTCTTGATGTAATAAATGCATGAACTAGTTTTTCAGCATCACTCCTGGAAAGGATGCTTCTAATCTTAGCAATATTCCGAAGGTGGAAAAAGGAAATCCTACAAACCTGTTTAACCTGGGATTTGAATGACATGTCCTGGTCAAAGATAACACCAAGGTTCCTTGCTTTGTTCACAGAGATTAACGTAATGCCATTAAGGTCAGGCGATTGGCTAAGCAATTTCCTTTTCTGGATTTCTGGTCCAAAGATGAGAACTTCCGTCTTGTCTTGATTTAAAAGCAAAAAGTTTAGAGTCATCCAATGTTTTATGTCCTCAAGACAAGCCTGTAATGTACCCAACCGATTAGGTTCATCAGGGTTAAAGGATAAATATAACTGAGTATCGTCAGCATAACAGTGGAAGTTTATCCCATGCTGTCTAATGATTTTACCAATTGGGAGCATATATATAGCAAAAAGAATTGGTCCAAGCACTGAACCCTGTGGTACTCCACAAGTAACCCTGGAGTATGAAGAAGATTTGTCATGTACATTTACAAAATGAAATCTGTCAGACAGGTAGGATTTAAACCAGCCTAACGCTGTTCCTTTGATCCCTACAACATGTTCAAGTCTTTCTAAAAGAACATTGTGATCAACTGTGTCAAAGGCAGCACTGAGATCTAACAAGACTAGAACAGACACAAGATTCTTATCTGAGGCCATGAGAATATCATTTGTAACTCTCACTAATGCAGTTTCAGTGCTGTGATACTCTCTAAAACCAGACTGAAATTCCTCAAACAGAGCATTAGTGTTTAAATGCTCACATACTTGGATGGCCACTATTTTCTCCAGGACTTTGGATAAAAATGGAAGGTTAGATATTGGTCTGTAATTCATTGGGTCATCTGGATCCAGAGAAGGCTTCTTAAGTGAAGGTTTGATCACAGCAACCTTAAAATCTTGTGGTACATACCCATTTACTAAGGATAGATTGATTATATCTAGAATGGGGGCAGTAACCAAAGGAATTGCATCTTTAAATAATTTGGTTGGGATTGGATCCAAAATGCAAGTTGAAGGTTTAGATGAAGCTAATATTTTTGATAACTCTGAAAGCTCAACTGGATCAAAACGGTTCAAGCACAGATGAGGTTCTAGAGTCACCTCTGATGCTGCCTCACTTACTGAGGAAGAAGAAATCGCATTAGGGAGGATGCTAAAGATATTGTTTCTAATAGAATTAATTTTACTTGTAAAAAATCCCATGAAGTCATTGCTGCTGAGGGCTAAGGGAATAGATGGCTCAGAGCTATGATTCTGTGTAAGTTTAGCAACTGTACTGAAAAGAAATTTAGGATTATGCTTATTCTCCTCAATTAGTGCTGAAAAATAAGCAGTTCTAG